GATTTCCGGAGATAACCCAGAGGAAAAAAAAAAAAAAAAGATAGAAAAAAAGCTTTATTTTCTTGCAGCAGGCCCTCGCAGCATAGCAGCGAGCTCAGCACGATGCTATCAGCCTTCCCCAGCCCTCCACCCTCAGAAAACAAAGGCAGGATGTGCCATCTGTCATCCCCCTGTGCTGGGGCCGGGGACCCTCCTGGGCGCTCCCTGTGTGTTTCCGTGCCTCCGAGAGCATCTCGATGCACCCAAACATCACAGCCAGGGCTGGGCTGTGTGCCTGGAGGGACCCAAGGGCTTCTCCTGCTCCCCTCTTTCTCCTCCTTATTATTTTGGGATTGAGATGCCATCTGCTCTAGCTTTTGTTCCACGTTCTTTAAGATCCTTTCCAACTTAATCCATTCTACATGCTATAATACATATAACAATGCGTTCTATGCATTCTATTTTCAATTTATATTTAACAGATGCAAAAGGTGGGCACGGCGTCGGTTCATTCCATCCAGAAACAGGGAAAAACACAACCTTTTGGCTATTGTCGAATCCCAAAGGAGGAAGCACAGGAGCTGGAGCCCCGGTACCACACGCACTGGAAGGTGTGGTGCTCTCTGCTGATCCTTGTTTTCAGCAACAAAGGATATGTGAGCTCTGCCAGGAAATCCGAAACCCTGGAGGAGCGGCTCGCATCTCCCCGAACTCCATTGTTGCCTTTATGTTCCATGTGTTTTTGCACAAAGGCAATTTGTAGAAATGGCTGCGTGCTGCAGGAGAGTGAAAGGATGAATGATAATGTCCTGTCCCCCGGCAGCAGAGCTTGGCACAGCTTTGCACATTTTTGGAGAGTGACAACCAAACGGCGCTCGGTTCCAAGCCTGATGCAAACTGATTTTTCGCATGGTTTGCACTTCGTTCAGGGCAGCCTTGAAGCTTTCCTACAAGAGCCACTAGGCACTGGGGGGGGGGTTTAAGCCTCACCACACCCTCGTGCAGCCTCGTGTCTCAATGTCACCGGTTTCCACTGGCACCCCACCAGCTCCTTGCACAATTGATAACTGAAGAAAGCACGCATTTGCCTGGGGGACAGGGTGGGATGCACAGTGCGATGGTTGCTCCTCCCTGTCATGCATCTTAAATCTCTTTTCCTTCTGTGCTTGACTGTTCTGCTCCAGTGGTAATGATTTTATCTGGTTTTCTGACTATTATATATCTATATTTTTTTAATAATTTCAATTGTGGCTCTCTGCATGGATTGGCTTGTGAAGACATAGCCAGAGATGGCTTATCTCGTTATCTCACAATCTTATCTCTGAATTGGAGAGATATAGGCTTGGAGCAGGGACTGTTTGGTGGATAAGGAGTTGGCTGGATGGTCACAGCCAGAGATTTGAGGTCAATGTCTCCAAGTCCAGGTGCAGGCAGTTGAGGTGTGATGTCCCCCAGGGGTCCATCTTGGGTCAGTGCTCTTCAACATCTTTATCAGTGACACAGACAGAGGATTCAAGTGCACCCTTAGCAAGTTTGCTGATGACACCAAGCTGAGTGGTGCAGTGGACACAGTGTAAGGAAGGGATGCCATCCAGAGGGACCTGGGCAGGCCTGAGGAGTGGGCCTATGATGCCTAGTGCAAGATATTTTTTAACACCCCTTCCAACCTAAGCTATTATATGATTCTGTGGCTTGTGGTTCCCTGAGATTCAAGGACAAACCCCTTGCTGGCCCATGCTGTATCAGAATCACATGCAAAGTCAACCATGAGTCTTCTTGGGCACACTGGGTACCCTTGGCCATTCCTTTCCCCAGGGCTCCAGCACTAAGTTGCCACTAACTTATTAACTATTTCATTGACATAACTTGTGTGCAACATTATTAGGATCACTGTATTACTACAGCTTACCATGTCACTGCTGCAGCTGATGCAAGTAAGGACAAATCTCCTCAGCCCCTTGCCACAATTTGTATCCTGAAGGATCCACCCAAATTAATGACAACCAAATGAATGTGCTGTTTGCAAGCAAGCTGCAGGTCCTGCCAGGCACCATAAATGCCATCTGGATGCTTGTGCTTCTGCAGAAGGAAAGGGCTCTGCTTGCTCCAGTTTCACATCTACACTAAGAAGAGATGGAAGTGTTGATCTTGTGTGCTGGCGTCATGCATTCCCTCAAGGAGCAATGCCTCTGGGGGCTGATTGCTGTGCTGCACTTTACTGCAGGAATTGCACCTTGCTCTCAGTTTCTAGCAGCCTCTGAGCACCTGCATGCAAAAAACAGTGAAAACAAGGATGCTGGCAGTGAAACTGGAAAGAGAATCAGATTAGAAACCAGATGTAAGTCAGTGATCATGATGTAATCAGCCACGGGGACCGTTAGCTGAAGGAAATGATACATACCTTATCATGAGGAGTGTGTGCATCAACGCTGAGCCATGGAAATTGGCCTAATTCAAGGCAATCATGTGTTGTTACAGCCTGTGTGCGCTGCTGCTGGGCACATCCATGCCGCATCTCCAGGCCCACCCCAGGCTTTGGGTGCTGGGAACCCTCTCTGCACATTTTTCACATCTCATTGAACGTTCATTTTGACCGGAGAAGTACGAGATGAGTTCACTTGGGGCTCGCCTGGAAGGATTATTTTGTTTTATTTTCTTTGTTTGCCTTGGCTGCTCACTCAAGGGCCCCGTCTGCCCCGTGCTTGCAGGGGCAGCCAAACCCTGGAAGAATTGGTTGCCATTCTTGTGCTGAATTTGGAGAACTGCTGTGAGCACCGCGCAGACCTGAGCCCAATTCTTCTGTGCCCTGCGGGTGGGTTAGCCCGCTCAGTGCCAGCCTGCTCCCTTCTTGCCCGTGCTGTTTGAACAGGAGCACAGGCCAGCCTTGGCCTTTTCCCCCTCTTTTGGCCGCATTTCAAGGTGGATGTTCAGTTGCAGCCAGAAAAAAAGGCACTGAGTGCCTTTTGTTGGGAGGCCTGGCAGGGCAGGGGGCAGGCTTGGTTTTACAAATATTTAGCTAGCAGCAACTGGAGGGAATATGCCAAGAGTAAGCTTAGGAAAGTGTGTGGTGCTGCATTTACAAAGCTCTAAGTCAATAGGGTGCAGACTGTTGGGTGGGTGCTCAGCATCCAAAAGCCACGTGCAGGCTGAGGCTGCCTGCTCTCCCCATATATCAGATACTATTGGATGTATGCACCCACCGGGAGCTTGATCTGTGTGTTATAGGATCATTAAGGTTGGACAAGACTTCTAAGATCAACTACTGCAACACCAAACCATCCCCACCGTGCCCACTGACTATATTCCTCAGTGTCCTCACCCCAGCCCTCAATCAGTGCCAGCTCCTTCTGTGCTTTTCTGCAGCCAGGACATTCAAGCCGGGACATCCTAGCCAAAAATGTTGCTAGCTGCAGGAATAAGGATGGCCGTATATTTAAGCACCAGGAAGACATAGGCACCTGTGTTCCCATGCACATTGAGCCTGTTCTCAGTAACATAATATGTGCATTTATCTATATTGCTGCAGTCCAAACTCCTTCCATACAAAAATTCAGCCAGCTGGTTGCCAGCTGCATCCCAGCAAAACTCCCACAGGCACTGCCCAGTGAGCAGGGAGCTGACTTGCAGACAAGGGAGAGAACCATAAAATCATTGAATAACAAAGGTGGAAAAGACCACTAAGATCACCCAGTCTAACCATAGCCCATACCTACCATGCCACTGCCCACGTCCCTCAGTGCCACATCCCACGGCTCTGGGACTCCTCCAGGTGACCCCACCGCTCCCTGGGCAGCTGTGTCAGTGCAGAATCACTTCTGGAGAAGGAATTGTTCCTAGCAGCCAACCCGAACCTCCCCTGGCACAACGTGAGGCCATCCCCTCTCGTCCTATGGCCGTTCCCTGCGAGCAGAGGCTGACCCCACCTCACACAGCCTCCTTCCAGGTCCTCTTTACAGCCCTTCTTGTAAGTGGCCATCACATTACCAAGCCCTTTGCTCCCAGAATGAGTTGGGTTGGATTTGTTAAATGAAAAACTCAAGGGGATGCACACACATGCTGTGGGGTCTGCTCTGCTTTGGGGGTCCCACCCTACAAACAGATCCCATCCATTTCAAGGCCAGCAGCACCCGGCCTCACTGGGGCAGCGATTGCAGCCCTCACCCCCACCCCGCACATCCCCTTGTTACTTCTTGCACACGGAAACTAACGCAGGGATAGGGATGCGTGAAGGATGCGGGAGCAAGCGCGGGGAAAGGGGGGGCGGGCCGCCGCCGTCACCAGGGCAACAGGCCTCCATCGCCTCCCAGCCGTGGGGTCCCTGCTCGGCTCCAGGCGTGGGGCTTGGGCCCCCCCAGCACAGCGCCGGGCTGCGGCATCCCCGCCTCCACAATGGCCATGGCCGGAGCGGGAGGAATCCCGTGCACTTAGAGGAGAAAGAAGGGGGAAGGGTATGTCGGATGCTTTGTTTTCAATGGGAGTGCAGCGAGCAGAAATTGGGCGCTTTTTTAAATTATTTTATATTATTTTTTTTTTAATATCGATGTGTCCATTTATTTATTTATTTGTTTTTAAGATGGGAAAGCTTATTTCCGTGGCACAGGTGATGCGGGCCGGCGAGGCTCGGCTACATGCAAATCCGGAGAGCGCGGTCTGCCTTTCGCTTTAAAAGGTTCGGATCCCGCCGGTCATCTGATCCAGGTCAGCGGGACTTTCCTCAGCAGCAGCCCTGCAGCCCCTCGGCCGGGAGCCCCCCGGCTGTGCATCCCTACAGGACTGGGAGGTAAAATCTCTCCGGATCGCTCTCGCGTTCTGCTCGCTTCCCACCGCGGGGGTGAAGGAAACCATTGGGATTTGCAGGGGTTTCATCAGGCAGCACCGATTCCTGATGCCGTCACGGTGCCCCCTGCCCCCGCTCCCTGCCCACGGTCCCTGAGACCCCCGGGGCCTGGTGAGGACGGCGGTACGGGGCCCTCCCCTTCTGGCAGAGGCTGGCACTCATCCCCCATGGGCTGCCCTGCAGCATGAGCACCAACGCTGAGCACTTCCCACCGTGGACCGCCTCCGCGGTGCCCCCCAACGCCAGCGCAGCCTGGATGGAAGGGCCGTCGGCGCGGGGCGGACGGGTGGGCGAGCTGGCGGGCATGGTGGTGATCCAGTGCATCTACGCCCTGGTGTGCCTGCTGGGGCTGCTGGGCAACTCGCTGGTCATCTTTGTCATCCTGCGCTACACCAAGATGAAAACGGCCACCAACATCTACCTGCTCAACTTGGCCATCGCCGACGAGCTGTTCATGCTCAGCATCCCCTTCGTGGCCACCTCGGCCGCCCTGCACCACTGGCCCTTCGGCCGGGCGCTGTGCCGCACCGTGCTGGGCGTCGATGGCCTCAACATGTTCACCAGCGTCTTCTGCCTGACGGTGCTCAGCCTGGACCGCTACATTGCCGTGGTGCATCCGCTGCGGGCGGCCACCTATCGCCGTCCACGGGTGGCCAAGATGGTCAACGGAGCCGTCTGGCTCCTCTCCTTGCTTGTGGCCTCACCCATCCCCATCTTCGCCGGCACTGCAGTCACGCGTGATGGCCAAGCGGTGGCTTGCAATCTGCTATGGCCTAGCCCAGCCTGGTCGGCAGCCTTTGTGGTGTACACCACGCTGCTGGGCTTCCTGCTGCCGGTGCTGGCCATGGGGCTGTGCTACCTGCTGATTGTGGGCAAGATGCGGGCCGTGGCGCAGCGGGTGGGCTGGCAGCAGCGCAGGCGCTCCGAGGGCAAGCTGACACGCCTGGTGCTGATGGTGGTGGCTATGTTTGTCATCTGCTGGATGCCCTTCTATGTGGTGCAGTTGGTCAACCTTCTTCTGCCCGGCCGCCTCGACGCCACCGTCAACAACGCCTGCCTCATCCTCAGCTACTCCAACAGCTGCGCCAACCCCATCCTCTACGGGTTCCTCTCGGAAAACTTCCGGCACTCCTTCCATGGTGTGCTGCGGCGCTGCCTCGATGCCAGCCTCTGCTGCTGCCCACCCGAGGCGCGGGCTGTTGGCGATGAGGAGGAGGAGGAAGAGGAAGAGCCCCTGGATTACCGCGCCGTGCCCCGAAGTGACCCCAAGGGCAAGGGCTGCATGTGCCCGCCGCTGCCCTGCCAGCAGGAGCCCGTGCGCCCCGAACCCTGCTGCAAGCCCGGCACCCTCCTGGCAAAGACCACCACCTTCTAAGGTGCCCTCTGCAGCCCTGCAAATAGGGTGCTGGGTGAGGAGGGCCACACTGCCCTCCCGTTTGGAACAGAATGCTTCTCCGATGACTTTGCCCCCATTTCTGCTGGGGTGTCCCCCTGGCATTCTCCACTCCTCGACCGCGCTGTGCAGCCTGATGAAATAAAAAGCCATAACGCTGGCCCGTGACACAGCTCCCAGCCTTGGCCGAGTGATTATTGCCACCAGGGAGCCCCCAGGCTAATGGCTGGGTTCCACCCCAGGGAGGATGCAGGACGGGAGGGCAGATGGGAAAGGGCCGATGGAAGAGGCCATGGGCACAGAGGGGACCCACGTGCTGCCCCTGGGGACATGAGGTCACCGGCACGGCACAGCCCAGTCTCTGCTTCTGCATGGGACCCCTGCCAGGGTTTCACCAGCATTTCCCACCATTTGATCTGTGTCCGGGCAAAAAACAGGCCAGGAAAAAAGCCACCTGCCAAACGGAACTGCATTTTTGAGTCCTTAGCAGGAGCCCACCTTCACTCTCTCCCCTCATCTTACAGGGAAAGGAAAAACTTTCCACAATGGTCTACAAATAAAAAAAATCCCACATCCCCTCCCCAAATCCCCAGGCAGAGGGACAAAACCGATGCTTTCCAGCAGGAAGGCTGGGCTGCAGAGTAGCATCACCCTCAAGGGCACTTTGAGCACAGTTGTGGGAGCTGTCGAGCAGTGCTGGAGCTGCACTGAGCAGCGTTAAATCAGCCACTTCCAGCTTGTTTGGGTTGAGCTTCGTCCTTTTCGTGTTATTCCCCTTCTCCACTATTTTTCTGGCTCATTCGTTCTATTTTAACGCTGCTGGTGAAGGGCATGCTTTCAGCACAGCACTCTGCTAACCAACAGCTCTGCTTTGCTGCTGGGGAGCCTCCGAGCCCCGGCAAGGGGCTGAGAGATGCTTGGGGGGTGGGGGGTGGGGGGGAAGGTCAGGCAGGAAGAACAGTTAGTTCCCAGGTTTCTATAAATCAGACGGTAAAAGCTTTATTGGTCTGCACACAACATCACGAGGTGATCACGCGTGGCGTAGGGTATATTTCCAATAAATAAATAAGTATTTACACATGTGCTGGGCGTATAAAACAGTGGGTTCAACAATTTACATGAAGAAAGTGACAACCGGGGCAGCGCAGAGCTGGCGTTCATCTCAGGACCTGCTGCATTGCTCAGTGCTGGAGGGGCAGACATCGCCCAGCTCCAAGCCCAAAATCCCATCCAGAAAGCTTGGCACTGAGGCAGCTGGCCCTGCTTGGGCACAGATCCTCAGCACTGATAACCCCGGGGGTTGTTTCAAGGGATCTCCCCCCCGCCAAGGCGTTCTCGGCCCCCCCCCCCCCATTTATCCTCCAGCCCGCACCTGCAAAGCAAGCAGCAAGGTCTGGAACACAAACATCACAAACATCACCAGGAAGTTTTGCCGTCAACTTCCACACAAATTAAACTCACCCTGGATAAAAAAAAAAAAAATTAAAAAAGGGAAAAAAAAAGAAAGAACACAAGAGGAAAAAAGGCACAGTGTCACCAGCGCTGAAAATGCCTTTCCTACAAATGACCCCAGTGCTCTTGGAACACCCATGTCACCCCCAAACAGTTCCCAAGTGGTGGGAGGGGAGAGAAATCAGCACTTGAGCCCCACCACGGTGATGCTCCGCAGGGTCCCTGCATTGCTGGCAATCTGAGGTCTGTATGCAACAGGCAAGGTGGGCAACACGAGAAGTCGATGCGATGAGCTGCTTTCCTCGCTTTCTCCTTACAAAACCAGGGGGGTTACAACCAAACGTTACCCAGTTCCATCCACCTCCCGCTCACTGCCAGGCTCCCTACACTTTCTGGCTTGCAGACACCTGCTGGAGCCCCATCTCTTTCTCGCGGGGGCTGCCACACTTGTACTCCATCGAGCTGGGGGGATGGCAGCGCTTCCTCGCCACGTGGTAGCCGACGGCCAGCAGCACCAGCGCCGCGCACAGCACGCCCATCGTGATGCCCACCAGTGCCCCAGGGTGCAGGTGCTCTGCTTTGGGTGGGACGTGGCTGGGGACCGGCACGGAGGGGTCAGAATCTCCTGAGTACTCATCCATGTTGTCGTCCTGTGAGATGGGTCGGCAGTGGTTGATGTCAAAGGCTTCGTAGCCGGGCTGGCAGTGGCACCTGTAGCTGCCGAGCGTGTTGGTGCAGTTGTGCTCGCAGTAATTATTCTCACACTCATCAATGTCAACGCAGAACGTGACACCGTTGGGCAGGTGATCCGTCACAAAGCCTTCAGGACAAAAACAGGAGAGGTTGCTGAAGTCACACTCGGCCGGGCATCTGCCGTCCTCACACTGCCGCACGCACTGGGTGGGATTCTTCGGGTCGACAACGTAGCCGCTGTGACAGCTGCACCGGTAGCTGCCGGGCACGTCCTCACAGATGTGGTCGCAGGGCCCGGTGCTGCAGTTGGGGACGGGCATGCAGTGCCCCTCCACCATCTCGTAGCCACGATGGCAGCGACACTCGAAACCGCCCTCGGTGTTGTGACAGACCTGCTCGCACACCTCTGGCACCTTGATGCAGTCGTCCACGTCCTGGCAGCTGCTGCCGTCGGGGCCCAGCTCGTAGCCCTCGGTGCACATGCAGTGGAAGTCCTCCCCGTCGGGCACGCAGTGCTGATCGCAGGGAGCACCGGCGCACGGCGACAGGCAGTCGCGCCCGTCGGGGCCGAGCTTCTTGCCGGCGGGGCAGACGCAGCGCGGAGCCCCGTCGAACTCCTCGCAGCTTCCCTCGCAGCCGCCGTTGGCCAGGAGGCACGGCCAGGCTCCGGGCTCGGAACGGCCCCAGCGCGTTCTCCCGCCGGAGGCCGCGGCCTCGCAGTGCAGCTGGAGCCCCATCGGTGAGACGACGGCGGTGGAGCCGGGCGGCAGGGCCAGAAAGTCACCGCCGGTGGCGCCGAAGGGGGTGCGGTAGGCGAGGGACGCGCCGTCGGCGAGCGGCAGGCGCGGGCAGCTGTCGGGGTAGTTGTACTCGCAGAGGAAGCCGTCGGCCGGCTCCTCGCAGCGCCGCTCCTCCCAGCTCAGCTCCCGGGACACCGCCACGCAGAGCTGCCCGCAACGCCGCCGCGACGGCGCCCAGTTGTCGTAGTCGGTGCGAGTGTCGCCGGTCACCCACTGGAAGCCGCGCAGGCGCTGCGCCGGCTCGGTGCACTGGGTGGGCAGCCGCAGCCCGAGCCACAGCTGCCCGCCGCGGTTCCGCAGCAGCAGCTCGATCACATCCTCAGCTACCGTAGAGCGCACGGTCATCAGGTGGCCGCCGTGCCGCTGGCAGGCCGCGCTGGCCGCTGCGAAGGGCCCCGGCTCCCAGAAGACGGCGAAGCAGTCGTGCTCCAGGCACTGCGTCCCCGACGGGACGGGCGGCTCCGGCTCGCCGAGTCCCAGCCCCAGCCCCAGCACCAGTCCGGCCAGCAGCAGCGGCAGCGGGAGCCGCCGCATGGCGGGCGGCCGGCGCGGCGAATCTCTGTCATGCCGCCGACCGGGGCGGCAGCTTTATAGAGCTCCGGCCGCAGGAAGGAAGCGCCTCCGGGGACGGGCCGCCGCCGGGCCGGGAGGGATTGCGGCGGGGGCGGCTCCGGCGCTGAGGAAATCCCCGAGAGTCGGGAGGTGCCGCTGGGCCGGGCCCGGCCGGGCGGGACCGCCACGGGGAGGGGGCGAGGCGGCCGCCCCTTCGGGGATGCGGGAGGGAAAAGGGAGGGGGGAGAGGTGAGGAGGGGGGAGTTGTGGGAATAGTAGAAGGAAAGGAGGCGGGGAGATGGGAGGAGAGAGAGAACAGTAAAAGAGTGGAGATTGATTAAAAAGAAGAAGAAAAAGAAGAAAAATGAGAACATAAATAAAAATAAGAAAAGATAGGATGGAAGGGAAGAAAAAACGAAATGAGGGAAATAAAGGAAAGAGGAGGGGAGAGGAG